CACACACACACACACACACACACACACACACACACACACACACACACACACACACACACACACACACACACACACACATACAACCAGTTCTCCTTGGCCCGCTGAAGCTCGCCCAAGATTGCAAGTACAGGCCCTTCAGGGCCGGTCCGGTTGGCCTAACGGTCCACCAAAAACTGTGTCAAGAATTCTCAGGGGTCCACCAGGCACTGGAAAATCGCCTGGGGACCCCAATTTTTTTTTCTGAAATTTCTAGAAATGGGGCCCAACCGGACCCCCCAAACCAGACACCGGATCCGGACATCCAGACTGGACTGTCTGGATCCGGATCCAGACGTCCGGTTAACAACCATGATAATATTAATAATCATTTACATCAAGTTCGAGATTCTCTGAGAGAGTCATTCGTATACTTATCATGCTATTTGCCTGATATATATAATATTTATTTAAATATTATTAATATTGAAATGTTTTTAAATAAGGAAAATTGATGTCCTTCGGTACATCCGTTAAAATTGGAACGACACAGAGAGAGAAGATTAGCATGGCCCCTGGCCAAGGATGAGACACATAAATTAAGAAATGGTCCAAAAAAATAAAAATAAAATAAAAATTGATTATCATCAATAACCTCCCTTCACCGTAGAGAGGTAGAAACTTACTAGAAAGCTATGCTTGCATGGGTCCCCTGTATAGCCTTAGGAGTAGAGGTCGGTAGGTTCTGAAGAGAAAGATATGTTCCATGATGACATGGCAGAACACCAGTTAAAATATATGTGATGTGAGAGAAAATAATAAATATATATAGCTGTCCCCAGCTTTACAAAAAAAAGAAAAGAAAAAAGAAAAGAAAAAAAAACATGTAACTTACTGGCGGTTGTGCTCTTGGTGTTGTTGTTGTTGTTACGGTTATCGCTGTATGCAGAGGACGGTGGTGAACAGACCACTGGCAGGGACCCGACGGAGAGGCGCTACTGAAGAAGAGGATGAAAGACTGGAGAGAGACCTGTTGGCAGATGAAAAGGAGTGCGCGGAGCATGTCATGTTGGTCGACCTTGGGCGAAACGATGTCGGCAAGGTACGTATGCATGCATGTACGGACGTTCTTCTTGTCTTTTTTTTTTTTCTTTTTTTTTTCTTTTTTTTTTCCTTTTCCCAACGGAGCTTTCACCTAGTCCCTGTGACGGAGCTCGGCTGTCTACCCCCTATATATCTTCAAGCCGGGCTGTTTCAGTCCGGTGCCCAGGCAGGCCAGGCTGCAACAGTGCCACCAGGTGGCTTCAGTCCTTTCTCTCTCATGAATTTAATTCAAGCGAGGGAAAGCTGCTCGGGAGCAGAGCTACCCATCCCTGCCCCTGCACCCTGCGCTATCGTATCCCCAGCTTCTGGCTATGGTGGCTATGGTCGGAAGCTATGGTGACGAAGGTAAAATCAGCTACAGAGTTACAGCATAGGAGGTTGTGCAAAGTCCTTAGGGACTTGCAAGTGGTGGAGCTAGGTGTAGGTATCCCCCAAGAAGGCCGGTAATTGTCATGTCCCGGGATGGTGCTATCTGAACTGAGGACAAAGTAATGAGGAGGACCATGGTGGCTACGGTGGGCATGGTGGGTATGGTGCGTATGGTGGGCATGGTGGGTATGCTCGGTATGGTGGGTACGGTGGGAAGCTATGGTGGCTATGGTGCGCACCATCCAGATGTCACAAGTACCGACCAGCCAGCTATTGTCTTAACCTGAATAGAACGCCTGGTCACTAGAGCTGTATATTTTGGGTTAACTTCCAGTCTAGATACAACAACAATTAGCGGGGGCGTTCTATTCGGGTGGAGAGGGTAGGATCTGGGTATGGATGTTATCCCAGCCAATCGCGGAATCATTTACCCACAACCTCATAACCACAGTGGCGGTAGGGTCCACATGGCCGCTAAAGCCGTCAAGCATACATTTTTTTTTTTATAGGCTATTGAGGCTATCTGTGACAATAGGAGTCAGTGCTTAGCTATAGGCATGTGATGAGTCATAGCTACCGTCTCGGGCCAAATGGAATGCATGGTTATCATAGCTGTCTTTGGGGAAGCTTTCAGTCTAGACTCTAGACTCTAGATACAGCAATAATGACCGTACATTCTATTCGGTTGAAGACAGTAGTAGCGGGCTATGGACGCTACTGTAGGTTGGCCAATCATGGACTCACTCATTTACATTTAGCATCACAAGAATACTTGCTGTATCATGGTCAAGATGGCCTCCATAACCCTCAATAGTACTTCGGTATGAACGCTATATGTCAGTTAGCACATGACTATAGGTATAGTCATGTGCTAACTGGCACGGTGCTGACGCATACTATACGTATAGTCATGTGCGAACTGACTGGTGCCTTAAGGCTGACACGAAGGACCGCGGTAGCCAGCCACGGTGCTGGCTATCGAGGTCCTCTGTGTCAGCCTTAAAGCACCAGTACATGGGCTCCTGGGCCGCGGGGCCCGACACCTCAAATTCTGGAAGCGGGAAACGAAAGTGCGACTGCCAATCCAATTCATCAACGGCAGGCCCAGTGTTTGACGCTTCGGCCTCGTTTTCTTGTGGCGACAAGTTTCGGACTGCAAGGCTGGGGCTGTGTACTGGTGGTTTAAAGCACCAGTAAAAAGTCGGAGAGGGGCCGCCGTTGATAAATTCAATCTGCGGCCTTTGTCGCGTTTCGGCCTCGCAAAGCATCCCGCGGAGAATGTATGGCTTGTACTGGTGGTTCAAACTGCCAGTACACGGCCCCAGCCTTACAGAAAAGGTTTAGTCGCCTACTCCGAAAATTTCGCACCTCGGGCCTACCGGACCACAATGGCTGGCGGCACCAGCCAGAAAAGAAAAGACGTGCGCTGCTGGCCGTTCGGCAAAGCCTGGCGCACAGCAGAGCGCCTCCAGGCCGGGGTGTACTGGTGGTTTAAGGTTCTATATGGATATGGTATGAGTCAGCGCCCGGTCATTATCGCTGTATCTGGACTGCAAGTTGCCCCAAATACAGCAAAGACCATAGTAGTTATCTATGGAGGTTTCTCTGCTAGTGTATATGGGGGCCGGTGCTTGACTAGGGTACACTTTGAATGAGCTAGTTGTCGACCATCGAGATTATCTGCGTGTATATGCGAGTCAGCGCCTGACTATGGTTATGTATGAGTCAGCTAGTAATAGACTCTGGAGGTTATCTGTGTGTATATGTTAGTCAGCGCTTGACTATGGGTATAGTCTGAGTCAGCGCTTGACTATGAGTATAGTATAAGTCAGCTACCGTCTTCCCCCGAACACAACGCACCCTTATTTTGGCTGTATCTGGCCGGAAATATAGCTTGTATACATTCATTTTTAGGGTGCGTTATGTTCGGGGGAAGACGGTAGTAGTTGCCCACGGAGGTTATCTGCGAGTATATGCGAGTCAGGGCTTGAAGATATACTCGTCAAGCCCTGACTCGCATATACTCACAGATACTCGCATGGGTTTAGTACGAGTCAATCAGTGGTTGGTATAGGTGTAGGCTATCTGTGAGTATACGAGTTATCGAGCTCAGGGGGAGAGCCTACTAGTAGTAGAGAGGCCCCTGTTTGAGCTGCATCTTCCATCTGGTGGAGTCCAGCTATGGAGGACACTGGCTATGGTGGGGGCCTTTTGAAGACGATAGCATCACTGCAGTGTACTTCAGATCGACGTTGTGCTGTTATCTTGCTTATCGGCCTTGGATGATGATTGATGTTGTAATTTTTACTAACTTAATAATTTTTAATATTTTTTATTAATTTGTGAGTTTTTTTTTTTTTTCCGGTAAACTTCACAAAGTTCGAATTATTTGAACATGTGCTATATTTTTTATAATCTTTATTGAATATTTTGACCGCGGCGATTTCATATTCCTGCTATTGATTGACTGCTGCCATTTCTTTTTCTTTTTATTTTGTAATTTTTGTTACTTCTCAGTTTATTCATCTTTATTCAGCTTTATTCCATCTGGATTCGAACTCAGGTCTGTATTTAACCAGTGGTGTGGTGATAGGTGTACGTACCGACTGAAGTTTTCTTCACTTGTTTTTTTTTTGTTTTTGTTTTTTTTCCCTGCTGAAAACTCCATTGCAGGTTTCGAAAGCAGGAACAGTGAAGGTGGAGAAGCTGATGGAGATCGAACGCTACTCACATGTTATGCACATTAGCTCTACGGTATGCGATCGTCGGTTTGTGTATCATGATTTGAACTCGTGATCTGTTTGTTGACATGCCCAATTTTACTGAGGAGCATGCTGTCGATGGAGGGCGGCGGTGTACTGAGTATTCTTTCACATTTCTTTTACATCTCGACGCTCGTTCCATGAACTTTCCTCCATTGATAACCTTTCATTGGGCCTTGCCACACTGGGAAGGAAGCACGGAAAACGGCTGTGCATCTTCCCATGGAAGATGGCATGATACATCCACTGCTATGAATCATAGTTGAGGATGTATCTTGTCGCTTCTGTGCAGCAAGGCCCATCTTGGCTTGCGAAACTGTGTCGCCCAGACACCTCTCTCTCTTTCCAGACTGGACCCTTATCATTTTTTATTATTCTTAATTTATAATTTATAATTTTATTTTTTTGATTTGTTGTACTCTTATCATTTCAAAGTCCAAACCCCACGTTCTCAGGTTTGCGGGTAGGTGGGAACAGATGTTAATCGTGATCATTGTTTGGAGGGTATTAGAGCAATTTACAGAAGAAGGGAGGGGTTAGTAAAGGGGGCAAATACCATAGCCCCATTCTCTTGTCCGAGAACCATTGGGCTTTCAAGCAGTAGTGGAAGGACGAGAGTGATTTGTGTTCTCTCTCACCTTCTCTGCCAATTTTCTGGCAAGCTTTTTCTGTGCACTTTTTGAACGACGTGACATAGGGCCTCGCTCCACTGCACAACACTCTACATGCATTTGGACGGTTTCTGGACCTGATACTCTCAAAATGTTGGACTAGTGTGAATGCACCTGGTCCAGAAAGCGACCAAAATGCATGTAGAGTGTTCTGTAGTGGACCGAGGCCCGTAGTCTCTATCTTGTGTGGACTCTGTCAGCTTCGGATTAAGATTACGGGCCTCGCTCCACTGCACAACATTCTAAATCTATCTGGAACTGGAACATTGCACACATGTATATGGCCATGATACAGTCCGGATACATGTGGAATGTTGTGTAGTGGAGCGAGGCCCTATCTCCCCTCCTCACTTATAGCCATATTTGTTGTCGCGTTGTTGATGCGTTAGGAGTACCTATGGATGGAAAAGGTGCTTTAGGCGCTGTAGAGCGAAGACGTGTCGAAGTCCAAGTCCGGGAATAATGAAGTTTTCTTGTACTATGTACCATTGGAGAGAGGCCGGTTACCCTGACTATTGTGATAGCTACAGACATGCCCCTTGGCTATTGTCATGGCTACAGACATGCCCGTCGCCTGTCGACAATTGGGGTGCCCTGCTGCATACTGCATCCTCAAAATGGTATTGTGATAGCTCTACAGGCATGCCCCTTGACTATTTTCATAGCCACAGACATGCCCCTCGACTATTGGGGTGCCCTGCTGCATCCACGGTCGTCAATGAGGGGTGCTTGGAATCGTTGCAGTTCTTCGGACGTGCCCCTAGACTATCGTCGTAGCTACGGACGTGCCCTCGACTATTGGCATGCCCTCTACAGGCTCCACCATGTGTGATGGTTGGCAGCAAGAGAGGATAATATATTTGTATAGATCGGATTGCAAGTACCTATTCCAACTTTATCATGTACTCCACAAGGTTTCCAAGTCTTTTACCTGCAGACCCCATGCAGAATGAAACAGATGGACCCGTGTGATGAAGGACAAATGGCCATTTTAGACATTGAGCATTTCGAGAATAGAAGGGGCTGAGTGTGTTGTGTAAAACAAACAAAAAAAAACACATTGTGAGAACAGCAGAGATATAAACTAACTATTATAAAGGTTAAGAGGAGCATGCAGGGCATATGCCGACGACATTAGAGCCAGTGAAGGAGATTGGCACGACGCTAGAGGTAGAGGGAGGAAAAGAAAGGGGAAAAAGAAACAGGGTTTGTAGTTCCGGTGTGGTTCCCAGTATTGAAAAAAAAAAAAAAAAAAAAAAAAAAAAAAAACAGTCGAAGCGCGAGAATGATAGGGTTGCACACTTGACACTTTTGGGTCAAGACCGCACTGGTGCTATGTTTGTGGAACTCTGTGCTATAAGTTAATATGAACCATTGAGCCTGGCCATCTTTAAGGAGAGGTTCATGTAATCTCAGCACGAGGATAGCACCAGTGGGGCCCGCCCTTCCGTCTCAGTCAGTCGGATTATATATTTTTCACCCCTGGCCGGCGGGGCCCATGAGCACTGGGCCTCTCCCTCCATCGTTTTCTTATTAAGTTTTTCGTAGTTAGTTATGTCCTGCCAGTGGAAGGTGACTGGAATGCTACCCCCAGCCATAGAATACACCCCCCCCCCCCCCCCCCCCCCCCCCCCCCCCCC